CCCCTTGTGCATGGGCCCCGAGAATTTGTCCCGCCAGCCCCCCTCTCGTCGGTCCTGTACTTACAAGATAAGTAGTAGTGCGTTAGTCTCGAGGATAAAATATCAAAGTTTCGATATATTAAATATGGTGTGCCCCAAGGTTCCATTCTTGGGCCACCGTTGTTTATAATATATGTGAACAATATTTTTTACTTCCTAAATCTTTCAGAGTAAAGAATAATATAGCCCCGACACTCTCCATAGGTGCCTTTAATATCTGCGAGACCCTTTCTCTAAGCGGTAGTGGGGACCGCACGAATTGTTTGGTCTTGACGTACAGTATGCCGGCGACGAAACATGCATATTTGTAAAAAATAAAACGCAAATAAATATTAAATATTTTATATTTAAAACATGCAAATGGCAAATATAAATATTATCCTGTTATAATATTTTATGAGCTCTAACCATTATATGTTCGGCCTTTTTATAATTTTATTTCCGTTATATATTAGGAAACTTAAGTTGAAGAAGAACATCTATTTTTTAAAAATTACTTAAATTTAACAGTTGTTGATGTTTCTATACTATACTATAGCATGACGCACCATGATCTTAATTTTTTTAAAAAACAGTATCTAATCGAAAGATAAATGAACATTTAAATGTTCGAACAATATCCTCCGCAATTATTATATTTAATGTTTGGGAGGCTTTGAAATTTTTTGACGTTTAGAATTTTTTACGTGTTTGACTCACATAATAAACACTAAGTTATTTTGTTGGCTTTGGAATTTTTGACGTTTAGATTTTTTTACGTGTTTGACGCACATAAAACCATAACTTATTTTGTGGTTTGACGTTTTAAGTTGTTGAAAGTGTGACGGTACCTTTGTGACAGTTTCTAACGTAATTTGTTTAATTTATTATTGAAAATGGGTCGCGGTAAAGCAACTCCAAAAAAAATTAAGGATTTGATCATAAACAAATATAAACATAAACATAAGTTTCCTAATAAATATCTGAAATAAAATTATGAAAAGGCCAAACATATAGTGATTAGGGCTCGTATTAAACAAAGAAATGTTATAAAGAGTTTCTAGACACTTTGAAACACACTATACATAACAATTTTGGGCCAGCTAACACTTATTTAAAAAAAAAATTTACCTTAAAATCCTTAAAATTTGTTGTCGGGTCTCCATCATAAAACAAATGTGAAATAAACCATTTTCACTGATTTCTTGTTGAAGAAACGGCTAAATATCAATATAAGACCATTCATAGAGCAATAAACCCTACCAAATTTTTTCATAAACGATCAAATTTTCTTATTTTTAATTTTTAGTTTGTTAGAAAAATACATAAACATTAAATTATTTTCAATGACAATTGATGTGTCTAGTTTCTATAAATGCGGTGTTGCCAAATCGAGTAAGAAAACATATAAGTTAGGAAATAATTCAGTGAAAGTTGGCTGAAAAATTACATAGTGTCTGGCCAGCAGGTAGATTTGAATCTCGAAGTGAAAACATTTGTAGTAATTACAGACAACCGTCTTTCATTTCATGATGATTGTACGTTAATTACGGCATGTCTGTACTTATCTAATATTTAAAAAAAAAATTCAATTTGAGCTGTGTCCAGGCCGTTGGAGATTATGCAGGTCGGCGTAGCCAGGTATGGTTTAAAAATTATCTGGTGGCGGCGAGGCCGCCACCTTACAAGAAGTCGTTCCTTCATTTTCTTATTGTATATTTTCTTATTATTAGATGCTCACGATACAAGAAACGTTCATTAAAAGTTGGGATCGAGGTTCACTGGCCAGACCCTAATGAGGGTTGGTTAGGTTAGGTTTTTTTTCAATTTGAGCTGTGTCCAGGCCGTTGGAGTTTATGCTGGTCGGCGTAGCCAGGTATGGTTTAAAAATTTTTCTGGTGGCGGCGAAGCCCCCACCTTACAAGAAGTCGTTGCTTCCTTTTCTTATTGTTTATTTTCATATTATTAGATGCCCACGATACAAGACACGTTCGTTAAAAGTTGGGATCGATGTTCACTGGCCAGACGCTAATGAGGGTTAGGTTAGGTTTTTCAATTTGAGCTGTGTCCAGGCCGTTGGAGTCTATGCCGGTCGGCGTAGCCAGGATTGAGTTAAAAATTTTTTGGTAGCGCCACCCTACAAGAAGTCGTTGCTTCATCTTCTTATTGTATATTGTTAGTCGTCGAAGAGTACTCTGCCGATGAGGGTGAGGAAGAAGATCTTGATATGGATATTTTTTAAATCGTTAGTTTTATATAATTTTTCTGATACTGAAGTCAATTGGTTGGCCTGGTACAACGCAGGGCATATGTAAAAATTATCATTGCTATGTAATAGATAATTGATATGGCAACATTGTATTTCTTTTAGACATATGTCACACTGCAAATCTTAATTGTCATAGTCTTTACGAAAATTAAAAAATTCCGACGAACCTAAACATGAGCTTAAATTAAAAAAAATAAACTGTTTACGAAAAAATGTTGGATGGTTAATTGCATTATGGATGGTCTAGTGTTATTATTTAGCAGTTTTTATAACAAGAAATTAATCAAAATGATGTAGTTTAAATTTTTTCAACATCGAAATTGGAGGACACATTTTAATAGTTTTAAGGTAAGAAAAAAATATTTTATAGCGTTTGCAGGATAAAAAAAGTATTTTGAAATGTGTTTCAGAAGGTCTAAAATCGTTAAAAAAAACAAAAAATAGCCCGTTCGACTGTTGGCGGATTTTTCCAGGATTTTTGTTCTTCGGTTGCTTTGTAAGCATTTTCAAATGGTGTAGATCCCAAAAGATTGATGAATCCAGTATATCGAAAAGGTTGTTTATTTTTCCACAAACTGTTGCGCACAGGGGCCTCTTGGGGAAGTTCTCCGAACCTTATATAAACAAGAAGTCCTGCGGCCACTGTCTTACTAAAAATTTGGGTAGTGTATTTTACTTTCATCTTTTCAAAGTTGTTTGGACGAATGTGTGACTCCGTACACTTGGGTGCCGCTCTAACTTTATAACTTTTATCATGATTGAAAAATTGTTTTAATGCTCACACAGAATATATAAAGTTTATTTATGTTTCGGAAATTACTAATTTTCTTTTGCAGAGTTTTGCTCTATAAATCGTTGTAGCGTTCTTACCGTTGGTAATCCAATTTATTAACTAATTCCTTCTTATATAATTTTGGTCCAAGGAAGTATAACGACAAGCAATAATTTTTAAATTCGTTTGAAAATCTTTTACCTTGCGGTTTTTTCTTTATCAGACTCAAAACAGCATTAATGCATGTGGCCAACTCGGCTGAAGGGCAAAATTTTAATGGAAGTTGTTTATATTGTTCAAACGTTATCTGGTCCAAATTTAAATTTTGATTGCTCTCTTCTAGTTTTGTCTCAAGTTTTTGTACAACTTCTATTATACTTATTTCTTATTCCTTTGATGACTTTTCGAAATTTTTCTTTCTTGAGTGTTCTAGTTGACAAAGTCAATAGATTGAATATCTCTAATAGCTAACTGGGTATCTTTTAAATGAATTTTGTGTGAGTTTACTAACAGGTAACCATGTAACCTGGTTAGCTGTAACCATATTCGCACGATGACTTTCAAGTAACTAAGACGTCATAGTTAACTTCGATTAGTGGTTTCAGGTAACCAACTCCTAGTAGGTAGTTAAGAAAATATTATAAATGACGTGTCATATAATAGGTATATAACATGTTCTTTTTGAAGTAAAAAATATAAATAATAATTTGATCTAATTAAATAAAAATTTAATTTAAATTTTTCTGCATTTGTTAATGAAATTTTATTCCTTATTGTAGATAATCAGATACCTCTGAATTTTTATTCAATTTGAATTAAATTCATTTAAACTTGGCCACTTTATGAATTTTTCTTTTACACACAAAACTGAAAAGTAGTTAAATATGGATTTATTTTGAGGAAATATTAATTTGATACTTTCAGAAAAAAATTAATTTAAGAATATAGTTCCAAATTTAATAATGTTTCTTCATAGTATCGAAACAAAATTCTGAAAATCACAGAGGGTTCACAAGTTTGACATCTATCTAGCGTAACTCTGACGTCATCACACCTACTAACCTGGTTATAGTTGGTAACACATTGGTAAGCTCGCGCAAAATTCATTTTAGGGTATGGTCCGTTATTAACCGACTACTAACCGCAAGTAACCAAGATTTTTTGACAGCGGTTCCTGATTTCTTAGGTACTTTTGGAACACGGCTGACAGTTGCGTCAATTTTGTGACAGATTGACATTCGACTTAATGGTAACCGTAAAATAATACCGGTTAGTGAATTGACATTTCAGTCACCATTTTCAGGTAAACGCGTCCCTAATTTAACCGATTTTTCAGGAATGTCAAGCCTAAGATAAAAGAAATGTCAAGCGGTTAGTTTTGGACCGAGTAACCGATATTTCGGTTAATAACCGACCATACCCTGACTACACGGAGATAACTTACACTCGTTGCTTCGCCATAGAGGTTGAGTGTCGCGGCTATATTACTCTTTAGGCTTTGTAGTGGGTCTGTCATTGACATTGTTGCCTATGCGTTGTAATTTTGATAGACAGGAGACGTTTCGAACAGTTCCTGTAGAGTAAGATTTTTATTTTTGATATTTAAGAATATCGTATTTTATTTTCGTTAGAAAAATGTATTTGATAAATAAAGGCATATTGTTTTATTTTTTCATGTTCGTTTAGTTTATTTAGATTGACAAGCTATTACAATTTAAGTCTGACACCATCAGCGCTACTAACTGTTTTTGTACATGTATTTTAAACACACCCTGTATTTTTTATAATAAAAATTACGTTCATACAATGCACGTAAAAATATATAATTTTTTATTTTAACTAATAATAAATTAGATATTTTTCTACATAAAAACAAGAATTTTTATGTCGTATTGTATTTTCAATAGGTTAAAAGTTATGCAAATTTAAGTTTTCTTTTAGTATTCATGAAGATGTAAGTTGATATTGTATAACAGAATATAGAATACTTTTATAAAGGTAAATATTCATTTATTTTTGAATGTGTCTCTAAAAGACATTTACTGTGTCATGTGTTAGTCTGGAGTAAATGTTTTCAAGCCTATGCTAAACTGGGATCAATTCAAGAATAAATTTACGTCATCAAATAAATCATCTGACATAATTTTGATGAATAAATCACATGACGCGTTTGGACGTCATTTAGGTTCCAAGTTCTAAGAGTACAAAAAAGTTACAGTATGGGTAAAAAAATTGTTACACTTACAATATCATGACAGGAAGTCTTATCCCTCTTATCAACTCGTTTATTTTAATGAGAATATTTAAAAGATTATGAAAAGATGGTTTTAAAAATGTATTATAAATAGTTATTTCATAACTAAGGATCTTTGTAATAAATCAATTTTAGATAATCAGTTTTTAAAACACAAAGTTGTTTTTAATATTGGACTATTTTCTGACTGAAAAATAAAAGACTTTTTACTGAAGATCAAATCAAGAAATAATGAACTTTCAGAGTCTTCATTTTTAAAAATCGGTTAAGGTGTTTCCGAGATACAATCCCCTACAAATGACGATAAAATTAGCGGTACCGACTAATTCTGTAAGCAGTTTATTTAAAAAATTGTGTTTTGGCATAAGATTACTGACATCTAGGCAACCAATATTACTTTCTTATATTGTTATATTGTTAGTTGCATATGCATTCATTCATTTTATTGACAAATAGCGTCGGCATATTGTGTAAAATCATGCTACACAATCTGAAGAGGCTACATTTTGTCGGCGTATAATGTCTTAACATAATCTGACTAAATTAAAATATCGGCACCTTGTGAAGTAACGATTTATAGTCGTCAAATTGTGTAACGTTTTTATTTTACCTGGTTTTATTAAAGCTGGTAGTAATCTTGTTATTATTTGTGGTTATTATAGGGGAAAATAATGAAAAAGAGTTGTTTAATGCATACCATAAAAAATATTATACGTCCTGAATGAATAAAAGACCCATACAACGTGTATCAGTTAGATAAGACATAAACAGTTGTTTGAGGTCATGTTATAAATCATACAAAATATACGTAGATAAACACCAATGCTAGATAATATAGGGTGGACGCAATAATAATTATTTAAGTATATTCGTAGGGTATTTAGAACTAAATATTATATAGGTAAAAAAAAATGTTTGGCCTAAAACTGTCATACTAGCTCTAAAATGACAAAAACAAGTTTTGACAAAACAAAAATTTGTCCACCGTAACTCCCGAACGGTTTGAGGTATCCATTTTAAATTTAATGGACATAATCAAAAAAGCTGTGAAATCGTTTTTAATATTTTTAGAGATATAAAGTATTTTATGCGTCAGGGTGGTGTAGCAGTATTTCAGGTTGTAGCATTTTTTGTATCTGTTTAATCCCATACAGCACAAACACATTTCGGAAATATTCCAAAAATGTTACATTGAAACATTTGCAATGTTGTATAAATATTACGAAACGTAAAAATGTTCTCTAAATATAACATTTCACAGTAATATTTCTGAAATGAAAATTAGAAATCTTTTAGAAATATTATTAGACTAAAAAAATACATTTAAAAATATACATTATTTAAAATACACAAAATTCAAACATTGATTCTTAAACAAATAAATATGTTTTAAAGAATATTTCATAAAATATAGAAGTGAATTACTTCATTTCCACCAATTCCTTTAAATGCACTAATTAGATACAACTAGATTTTTTTTTAATAAATGTTCCAAGTAAACAAACATTTGCGATTATTATAATCTAATCATTAAGATCAATTAGCAATTTTATTTTTACCTAACTTATCTAGGGATGAAAAACTTCATAAACAAAAACAAATAAACGACAACTTTATAATTAAAATGAAAAACACAACAAAATACCTCGGTATCATAATTGATCAAAATTTGAAATGGGTTGATCACATTGCGTCATTAAAATCGGTAAGAAGATTCACTTTTAAATTTTATGAATTGAGGATATTTATGACTAGGAGTTTACTAATTATTATTTACAATTCGCTGGTTGAATATGTAATCCAAAATCGTATAATTAAAATTATCTACAAAAAAAACAGCATTATATCCTACCTCTCTTTTATATAATAAAAAGTGCTTCGTATATTATCTGTCTTGCTGTACCTTTATTTAAGGAAAGCCTGAATTGAGATACACTACAAATTATTTGCAATAAATATCAAAAGAAGCATACATTTTTAAATAATTTGACATTTAAGAGCCATTAACACACCACAGTTGGCATCTTGATACTTGACAGGTACAGCGAAGCATTCTGATTTTTGCCAAATAAAATGGCCGGTTAATTATTCTGTGAGGTTGCGACAGAGAGCCAGCAAATTTGGTGAAGGTGTTTTTGTGGCTAGGGGCGAAATAGTAATACGCTTAAGTTAGCACCACCATAAAAAAGTAATTTTTAAGAAACTGCTTATATATTTTTCATAAATTGACAGGCTTGGCGACTAATTTCGAATAAAAATAGCTTCAAAAATGGCTATGGTTGCAAGTAAGAAGGTCGCAACCTATCTTAGAAATTTCACCTTTACTATCAACAGCTGTTGTTTGACAGATTGTTAGAAAATATTTGCAATGTATGGAATGTTGAGAATGTTAGAAATGTTGACGTTAGAAATAATTGGAATTCCTAAAATTGTCACATAAGAAATGCATAGGCGGATTTTAAGAAAATTGATATTAAAGTAGTTAGGATGGACCGGAAATTCTGAAAATCAATAGGGTTCTAAGTTAGAAGTAATTATTCAAGAAAATCAAAACGGCAGGTCAAAGGTTTTAAAAAATGGGGGTAAGAAAATTTTTTCGTCTGCACGAATGTAATTCTGAGGCCTCAGTAAAAATGACAAACCTGTCTACTCTAGTTTTACAGCATTAGTGTACAAATCATAATTATCAGCTATTAGTCAAGTATGGTGGTGTATTATGATATTTTATAAAATATGTATATATTATGGTATTGTATCGATTATTAATCAATTAAAGGTAAAGGAAATTATTACAATGTACTACGAAAACTTTTATTGGAATGCCCTATAATTGATTTGATACGAGTATTAATAATATTTTCTTAATCCACTTGGTTATAACGTAAATTACTTCTTGGATTGATCCGATTTTAGAAAAAAGTGACTAAATTTACAATTAAAATTTCAAAGGATAAAATTATGTTTATTTTTCAGGTCACCCTACGTGTTTACAATTTACAGATAATATGAAAATTTCTGTTAATACGTACCGTTGGCAATGTATAGAGTGTAAATGCTGTTCTGCTTGCGGAAATTCTGATAATGATGTAAGTAACTGTAGCAAAATAACAATTTGGTTCATTTTACTTTATAAACCAGATAAGCCAATTGCAATTTTCTTTCCCTTAGAAAGCATTTTTGTGATTTAGGTTAAATCGGTATAAAATGATCTCTAGATTTTGTCGTTTTTTTCTTTGAATAGAGTTTCTATACACCCTCTATAAAAGATAAAATAAAGCAATGTAGATCTCAACATTTCAACACCCCATCGAAGAAGACTGTAACTCACGATACGTCCATTTAAAATTCAGCGAAATGAGGCGACTACATCAGTATAAAAAACGTATCTCAATTCGAAATGGTTTGGCTAATACTAGTTTGAAAAAAGTTGTATTTCAAGTTACGTGCACCATTTCAGTCTTAAGTCAGTAACACCTTTTACCTCCGTCAAATTTGGTCTATAAGATTTTAAATGAGTCACAGAGCGTCCTTGTTTGCATATTTTTTAATGTAACAAAAATATACGTTTTAATAGTCGTTTTCTTTTTACAGGTATAGTTGACTAACTAAAAGTTAGATTATGATCTAGCTAAGCTGTAAAAAGAACGCGAATTTTAGTTGACAGGCGACGTGTCCCATATCATCCGTTTAAAAACAATATTTTTATCAAATTTTCTAATTTCTTCAACATTCAACAATACAATCTTGCACCTTGTTATCATAGTCTATTATTCTCTTGAGTAATGAAATTCATAGAATATGTTTATTCGTATGATGCACAGAACACTTATTTTCTGTTATGGTTTATGGTTAACGTCAAGATCCGTGTACCTTATCATCGGTAAAGGGGAAGAAAGATTATGACTTATAATTACAAAAAGAACGTACAACTAAGCTCAGTCGATGTAAATGTCGTCAGGTCTCGCTCGGGTGAAGGTCGTTTTGCCCTGACCCCGCTCTTTCGCTAAGAAGGGGTCGTGAGGGAGATATGGCCGTACTGGTGGATAATTCGGAGAGCGTAGCGAACTCCTCGAAATCACCAACACTGTGAAGCACTTCACCAGGGAAACTTCCCCCTGACTTACATTTGCCGTGTGTAGGCCGACGCTCGATGGGGGTACATAGTGATTGGAGTCCCAATTCAAACGAATTGGGTAGGGTAGATTCGGGCCAAGACGGCGGGGATTTGGCAAACCGTCGAGTAGTGTCGTTAATTGGAAAGTTATAAAAATCATTTAAATTTATAGCCGAGTTCGGCTGTCTCCACAAGGTGGCATTTTGCTCTGGGGCGGGAGTAACCGGGGAAAAGCCATAGAACTCTCCCCGTATACCGTGCCCTTCTGAGTTCAGCAGTGAAATTGTCTGAATTTTTGTGATGCATTTTTGTAGTAAGTTAAATTGAATTGAAATGATTTAAAATATATTAAGTTAGTTAACTAAGTGACGTTAAAGGTTATAAACTAATTAATTTATTTAAAAAAAAAAAAAAAAAAAAAAAAAAAAAAAAGCCTCCCTCAGTCAAGCGGGTTCGACAGGGGAAGGTGAATGTCGATTAGAAAGTAACCGACAATCACTAGGATAGGATATAAATAATAATTAATTAAATAAAAAGAAAGAGCCACGTTACTATAACAAGGCGTCTCCAAATGGCTATAAAATAAAACAAACAAGGTCGTTGCCAGAGAAAGTTTCGAAATGTAAACGAACAAAGCCGGAGGTCTTTACCAACCAACAATATTATTGACAAATGACACTGTAAAGAATATATGGCTGCGACCCTTGACACCTGTCAGTCCGACCTGTGAAAAGAAGAAAATCCGTTACAGGTTCCGCGCCTAAAAATGCCGGCAAGCGGGAAGGAAAATGGAGGGAAATTAAATGGGAAACGATGTATCCCTCGTCTCCCACGTAATCGAAAGTGACTCACCCAGTGTAATTATCCCACGGAGGGGGCGCTAAGCAGGAGGATCGCAAGGAGGTATAAGAGAATGCGCTAATACCGGCTTATTTCTCAACCACTTTGCTAGAATCTTCTTTCCTTAGTAAACCCTTATGTTGGTCGACTCAGACAGTCGTGGTGTGATGATTAAGATGATTTTAAAACTTGAAGTAATCCTTTTGCTAATGATGCACTGAACCGGCACATAACTCGAATTTGTACTATATTCGCGGCGAGAGAACTATAAACTAGAAAAGTTAAAGATCGACTGCCTATTTTTGCGGGAAACGCTTATATTTATGTCTCTAATTCGTTTTAAATTTGCAACGGCTGTATATTTGAAATTTAAACTGTCTTTTTAGGATGAATAATAATGAAAAATCGATTTTTAGAAAGCTAGAAGAGTTGTACGTGGGTGTGAAATATTAATAAGACATAGTTTGGACACGCGAATTAATTTGGATTTTTGTGATGTCTGAAATATTTCTGCGTATGTAGGTATTTCATTCGGGTATAAATGAATTACGGAAATATGAATGTTCGAAGTTGTTTTCGTGAGAAAGAGTAACTAGTCTCCGAACTTTAGGATTATTTCCTGATTATTTTGTGACAATTTTAATATTAAAAATTAAAATACTTTACTGGCGTTCGAGTACGAATGCCAGATGTAAAACCACAAGTACTTGTGTCGACGTAAGACTCTATATGTGTGATTGCAAAAATCAGTGTTTGCGGATTCGGTTAATTGGTGTCCATTCACAAAGGGGATTGTTGCGGAGCTGCAACTCGGCTAAGAATTGGATCGACGCTACGGGACCCTATGGCATAAGTTAGCTCAGATTGGTGGTAAAAAGAAAGCGACTATTGTAACATGGTCGTACCTTACTTCTATGTAGTGTTATGTTAACTGGCAAGGTTGTATCTCAATCAAACTCAAATTATTAATGATTTCTAAAATTTAATCATTCATTATCCTATAAGTAACCTCCCATTATCACATTTCTTAACTATTAGAGTATTATACAGTTTCTTCACAAATAATAAAAAACAACTTTTTAGTTTTCTGACTTCTCAAAATCACTAAAATTGAGTCAGCTTCTTCGATGGAGGTGTCGATTTATTAACTACTCTTGAAACGAAACTGCTCTGTTTAAAATTGCATTGTCAACTGAATTATAGGTTGAAAATCACGATACACATACTAATGGTATGCTGACTTTCGATTCAAAATTCGTCCAAACCACGCATGA